TGACTGTGTGCTTCTTAAAATATCAGAACATCTGCACATGTTTGAAAACTGTGATTGGAGCAAAGCAAACACTGTAAGTGTAATTTGGTGTGTTTCTTGATTAATTTCTCTCTTGTTTGCAGTGTTGGAGTGTACGGGCAGAAATATTTAGCTGGATTCATTTTTATTTGAGAAAAAAATATGGCTTATTACATATTTGCATTAACAAGAAAATATTGTTAGGTACAACAGGTGGTGGTTGGGTAAAACAAGCAGTATAGTGTAAAGGGTTAAAAGTTGTATTTTGTTAACTTGTCCTAAACAATAAAACAGAAGTTTTATGTAAAGTTGTCAAAAGATCGATATATGGGTTCTGCAAAAACTTGGTATTATGGTTGTACGTGAAAAAAATACATGAACTATACTAAAATTTTGAGTTTTAGTGTTTGAGCGTGCAGTACGTCTTCTTCCTTAAGGGCCACCTCAGCAAGTCATCTGTCTCATATCATCCTCCACTGTTGCACCAACCATGTCCTTCACCACATACATGACTCTTCTCTGCAGTCTTCCTCTTGTCGTCCTGCCTCGCCGCTCCATCCTCCACATCCAATTTACACAAGGCCACAAGCCAGTATATGCGTAGTGGAGATTCCAAGCTGATGATAATGGAAAGGCATCTGTTGATATATTATACTCTATAGCTATATTAATCTGGGGCATCCATAAACTGGCAGCCCATTTTGAAATCTGAAAAATGTCTACAGCCCACCTAACCCCTCAAACTCTACTGTGACATGATCTGACCTCGTGTTCCACACCATAACATATGCGTTGTACAAAACGTTTGTGAAATTAACAGTAAAATTGTGTAAAATCTTGACATCAAAAAAGTGTAAATAGAAAAACAAAGAAAATGTTTAATTTACATCAATATTTTCTAAATAATCCATTTACTTCTGTAAAATAATGAACCATACAAAACTGTTAATTTTACAGTAAGAATATGTTTTAAAAATCGTGTCCTTGCTGTCGTAACATGACAAAAAACTGTTTTTCTACATGATAAAGTGATGCTGCTATAGTAAATAAAAGAAATATGTCAGCACGAGTCTTTAGGCTTAACCTGTAGTAAATAAATGTAAAAAATGACAGAAACTCAGTCATGTCTGAGATATTTGACCTTATTATTGACAACAAGTTTACTATATGACGGTTTATGGTCTTAGATGCCTGTCCTCCATGGTTTTACAAATCATGACCGCCCTCTTCCAGCACCGTGTCTGACCTCATGTTCAACATGTGATTATCTCCTTTTTTTTCTTTGTCTGAATTGTTTTGATTTTCTGACAGTTTGCTTGTTGAGGTTGGCATTAAGAGCCTTTCTTGGGAGCTGACAGCCAACTGCTCTGTAAAAATTACAGGTTTGTGTATATAAGATCAAAACAAAAATAAAAATAAACAAATAAAAGAGATTTAGAAAAAGAAACAGCATATATTATAGCATAGGTGTCGAACTCCAGGCCTCGAGGGCCGATGTCCTGCAGGTTTTAGATGTGTCCTTGATCCAACACAGCTGATTTAAATGACTAAATTACCTCTTCAACATGTCTTGAAGTTCTCCAGAAGCCTAGTAATGAACTGATCATTTGATTCAGGTGGGTTGACCCAGGCTTAGATCTAAAACCTGCAGGACACCGGCCCTCGAGGCCTGGAGTTTGACACCCCTGCATTATAGGAACACTGATGCAGAGATAAAATCGAAAAATAAATAGGATTAAAAATGAAAAGCTATTTTTGACTTTTAAGGTTAAATATAAAAGGCAAATTTACATTTAAATTACACAATAGAAACGTTTTTTAAAGGGTTTTTT